AACGACACTCGGACAAATAACCGGTACTATAAGCCCACATCCAAACAAGGAAAAGGACCCAGAATGAGTTATCAGTCCTAAGCCTTTTAAATCTTATTATATATATATATATATATATATATATATATATATATATATATATATATATATATATATATATATATATATATATATATATACAAATATGAATTTTGGGGAAAAATATAAGATTATAAAAGAGTTTAATGTTTTGAGTATTTTTGATGATTTAATGTCGTTTTATCATGATTTGAAATCATGATTTTATAACACAAAGTTCTTGTGTTATGCTTGTATTCCCCCCCCCCCCCCTTAAAACAGTAGAAATTATGAAAATACGAGGGTATGAACTCACATGATAGGTGGTGATTCGGACAGCGTTTCGTTTCCCGGAAATGAGTTTATTTGATGAAAAACCGGCTTAAATGGGGAAGAGTTTCGACTGGAGAGAGGTTAACTTCTCGGGAATCTCTGGGCTTCAAGGCTTGATTAAGGTTTGAGACTTGATACCGGGGCTTTAGGGGTTGTATATAAGTTTGTGGAAGTGAAAAATATGAAAGTGTGTGAAATTTGGGGTGAAAAGTGTAAAATTCTCGGAAGCCCTCGCATGCCTTATATAGGCCGAAGCCTCGGATCCGAAGCTATACGAGGCTGCCGCATGTTCGGACAGGTGGCGAAGGAAGGAGGTTGCTTCGGACAGGTGGCTCGGAGGTGTTGGCTTTGGACTGCACCGGACTTCGGTCCAATGGGAAGAGGGCATGTGTCCGAGGGGGTGTCCGGGGGTGTCTCATGCGAGGGTGTCGGCTGCTTACTGGACCTTGGCTGCGGTCCAATCAGAATGTGACACGGTGAACTGCGGTCCAATCAGAAGGTGACACGTGGAGGCCTCGCATGCGAGGTGACGTGGCCGAAGGTCAGCCTTGCGAAATTGCCCGGTTTTCAATATTTCTTGATTTTTGTGCCAAAAACTTGCGAAAATCATAACTTTCGCATACGAGCTCCGTTTTCGATGTTCTTTATATGCACGCGTAGGTAAAATTATACTCTACGACTTTCGTTTAGACTTCGTTGGCTGATTTTGATTTATTTTTAATATTATTATTTTTAACAGACCGGGACAGGAAATCCGTTAAAAATTCATAACTTCTTCATCCGACGTCCGTTTTTGTCTGTCTTTTTACCGTTGTACTACTATTGACGAGACCTTCAATTCTCATTTAGGTTGTGTCCGCTAAAAATCACTCGATCTTCATTTCGAGTTTTTAGCTGTACACTACTATACTGAAACTTAGAAAAATCGTAACTTCCTCATATGAAGTCAGATTTTGACGTTATTTTTATGAAAGTTCTCGGTTTAACATAATCTACAACTTTCATTTAGATTGTTAAGGCTAAAAAGTCTTTTATTGAAAATTCAGTTTTTACACTGAACAGTGTTTTGCCGGTTTTGTCGCGGATCTTCGATTGGTCATAACTTCTTCGTTATAACTCGGATTTTAGTGTTGTTTATGTTTTTTGAAACCTTGTTATAATCTCTATCACTTGGTTCATCCCAATCGAGATTGTTTAATAATTTATTTTTGAGGATCAATTATGTAAATACACACAGTATGTTAAAATTTCTCTTTATTATTTTAAAAAGAAATACAAATTGACCTACATTATTACATAGGTTTCAAATAACGGTTTGTTACACTGATGGACATGTGCCCCCTAAATATTTTAGTGGTCCCCCTCCCCTTCTTTGCTCAGCCGATAATATGAGCCCACTTCCCAATTCTTTTGGGCCTAATAGCCCAAGGTTTGTGCATGCTTCCTTATCCTTTGCTGATATCATTAAAGGGTCCACTCCTTCTTCTGGCCCAAAATCATCTCATCAGATACCCAATTCCCAAGCTAGATTTTTTGGAGATGCTCCTGTCTTCGACTCTTCTAGTGGCAAGGTACCGTTTTTCAAGGATCGTGTTCTAGAATTATGGAAAGAGTATGGGATTTGTGATATTTTTATTAACGATGATGATATCTTCTTTTTTTAAATTCGACAATGATGCGGGTATGAACTACGTTCTTCAATAGGGAATTTGGAAGATCAATGGTATCCCATTCTTTCCTTCGCAAATGGGATCCGAATGTCTTCATTAACAAATCAAGTCATGATCAGGTTCCCGTTTGGGTTAATATCTTTGGCATTCTTCTCCAACTCTTTAATAAAGATGGTCTTAGTCTCATTGCTAGCAAACTTGGAAAGCCTTTAGAGGTTGACTCTTACACCACCACCATGTGTGAGCGGGCAACGGGTAGAGCGGTTTATGTTTGTATTCTCATGGAGATGTCGGCTAAAGATTCCGAAATAAAAATCAAAGAGATCATGGCTAAAGGTGCTACATCTACAACTCTTTGAGTGGAGTATTCTTGGAACCCTAAGAGATGCGATCATTGCAAAAATTTTGGTCATGACCATGCCACTTGCCCCGTTCTCACGACCTGTACCCCCAGCCCAATGTCGGCTATGCCCACTCCAAAAGAAGTTGATAATGAAGGTTACCAAACGATCAAAAGGAGAACTAGAACATTTCCTATCCTAAAAAAGAAGATCATCATCGACAACCATAAAGGAAAAGGGCCCGCTATAAAGATCTCTCAAGTTTATAAACCAGTGATCGGTGTAGAACCAAAGAAAAAGGTTACCAGTAACATGTTTGATGCTCTTTCTCATCAAAGAGTAGATGATACTTATGTCGACCCTCATATCCCTCTAGTTATTCATTCTAGTGATACCCACCCAGCTACTGACGCACATCAGAGCTCTTCTCATGGTGGCCGTATCTCTTCTCCAATTGATCATGGATGACAATTTTTGGTCTTTATTTAGATTGTTCCACGTTTGTTTAGTCTTTGCTTTGGGGCATGTCCCTTAGCTTGTTTTGTCTTTTATTTTTCATGGGCGTTTGCACTCCTTCTTTTGTAATTCTTTCTTTCTTTAATAATATTTGCCAAGGGGTTTTCCCCCTTTTTCCAAAAAAAAACCCTAAACCCTAAACCCTAGACTCTAAACCCTAAACCCTAAGCCCTAAGCCCTAAATAATATATATAATAAGTGTATCGTATAATTTACAACGCGAATAACAACACAACCGACGAGGGGAGGCCCCAACGAAGAGAGTTATATGAGACACGATACATTAACACATTGATTTATATTCAGCTAATGCCCGACCTATAATTGTTAATTCTTAAATGAGCGAGAGATATATGTACATATCTATATAGGATTGACACTCCCACCTGTGGTTACTAGGTACTACCCGACGGCAAGTCGAAGCATGCATAACTTTGTTACCACAGTAACGTCTGATGAAGTGTCGCGTTATTTATTTCCGGATCAACAATCATATCTCGATTATAGGAACTCATCATAAGTTTTTCAAATTAAAACTAGCCATCTTAAACAATTAATAAGAAATTATTTAAGTGGTGATAGTACGCAAAAACTTGGAGAAGCGACTCTAGGTCAACCAACAGTTAACTGTCTTAGACTACCACTAGGAATCTACCTATGGAAATAGTGACAGTACACACCCACTAGAAGAAGCGAGTTTAGGTTAAACCAAAACTAAAACTACCATTGACCAAAGAGGTAGCCTATAGACTCAAGCGACGAGCTCGGTGAAAACTAACCCCGTATTCCATGTGAGTCAGTTGACTTCGATTAGACCAGGCCGACCCAGAGAGGAACGTGCCCATGAGGGCACCACCAGATGTTGTAGATGAACCTACTAAGAAATTGAGTATATCATAGCTGACCGCACCATGGGCTAAAGAGATAGTTTACACAAACTCGAGGAAACGATTCCGGATATAACATCCACTATTCTTGAGGAACGTCTTGAGAAGTACTGCCTACAACACAACAAAAGAAATATTAGGAGAATATTATCCAACACTAACCCTTAGATAAGGTAAAAATTAAAATTTATAACTTCAATACAAATTAGGATTCAGATTTAGTGACTAAACTATATGGATCCAACTACCAAAACATTAGAAAATACGCCAACACACTATCCTAGGTTGAGGTTACAACGAGTGCTAACTTAAGAACATCAAATAATTATTTTCAGACATACCTAAACCTGTGAACTCAGCAACATTATGTTCACCCTCTCATAATCACATGTATTCCTAGGTGAACCCACAGAGATAAACGACTAACCACAAAGTACAAATGCCCTTTTGAAGATCATAATTCATACCTTCATCGTTTTCAAATTTAAAGAAGAACACATCATCATCATTGATAAAAATGTCACAAAGTCCATGTTCCTTCCATAGATCTTGGGTTTAACTTTTAAGAAACTTGAAACCAAGTTTATCTCCCACAAATGCCCTCTTTCTTTGTATTTTTTTTTCTTTTTTAATAAAATTTGCCAAGGGTAATCCCTTTTATCCAAAGAAAACCGCAAACCCTAAACCCTAAACCCTAAACCCTAAACCCTAAATCCTAAACCCTAAACCCTAAACCCGAAACCCTAAACCCTAAACCAACAAACCCTAAATCAACAAACCCTAAACCCTAAACCCTAAAACGTAAACCCTAAACCCTAAACCCTAAACCCTAAACCCTAAATCTAAACCCCAAACCTAAACCCTAACCCTAAACCCTAAACCCTAAACCATAAACCCTAAACCGTAAACCCTAAACCCTAAATCATAAACCCTAAACCCTAAACCCTAAACCTTATATCCTAAACCCTAAACCCTAACCCTAAACCCTATACCCTAAACCTTAAACCCTAAACCCTAATCCCTTTTAGGGTTTAGGGTTTAGGGTTTATTTTTTTATTTTTGTTTTGGGATAAAAGGGATTACCCTTGACAAATTTTAATAAAAATATAAAGAAATTACAAAAGAGAGAGGGAAAACACCCAAAGCAATGACAAAAAAAAACAAAGCAAAGATCTAGATAAATAAGATCTAAAACATCAACCCTGATCAACTGGAGTAGAGATATGGCTACCGTGAGAGGATCTTGGATGAGAATCAGAAGCTGGGAGGGTATCTTTTGAAAGGATGACAGGAGGGATACTAGAATCTTCTTCAGTATCGTCAACTCTTTGATGTGAAAGAGCATCAAACATGTTGGACGACGCATTCTTTTCCTTTGGGTCACGAATGATTGGCTTGTAGACTTGAGCAATCTTTAGAGCGGGGCCTTTTCCTTTACGGTTGTCAACTTGGACCTTCTGTTTAGGGATATGACTAGCTCTAATTCTCCTTTTAAACGTTAGAAATCCTTCTTTGTCAACTTCTCTCGGGATGAGTGTGGGCGCCTATTGAACGGGGGAGATGGTCGTATGAGTGGGGCATGAGGCTTGGTCATGAACAAAAATTTTGCAATGGTCACATCTCTTAGGATTCCAAGAATACTCTACTCCGAGGGAAGTAGAGGTTGCACCTTTAGCCATGAACGCTTTGATTTTTATTTCTTTAGCCCAAGGAGCATTAGCCGACATCTCAATGAGAATACGCGCATAAACCGCTCTTCTTGTAGCCCGCTCACACATGGTGGTAGTGTAAAAGTCAACCTCCAAAGGCTTTCCAAGTTTGCTTGCTATTAGACTAAGACCATCTTTATTAAAAAGTTGGAGAGGGATACCAAATATATTAACCCAAACGGGAACCCGGTCATGAGATGTTTTTCAATAAAAACTTCTGCGTCCCATTTTCGGAGAAAGAGTGCGATTCCGTTAGTCTTCCAAATACCCTTTTGAAGAACATAATTCATACCTTCATCGTTTTCAAATTTCAAGAAGAACACATCATCATCATTGATAAAAATGTCACAAAGTCCATGTTCCTTCCATAGACTTGGGTTCGACTTTTAATAAACTTGAAACCAAGTTTTTCTCCCACAAAATATCCATATAAAGTTCTTTCAAAAGGAGCACTACCATTTTCCATGATATTCGAGGGAATTAAAATGTGATCATCTTCTAAAATGTCAATATTATTTTTGAAATCAAGAGCAAGAGGCTTGGAAATTAAATACTCTTACACTACCACCATGTGTGAGTGGGCTACGGGTAGAGCGATTTATGCTCGTATCCTCATTGAGATGTCGGCTAAAGATCCTTTGGCAAAAGAAATAAAAAATCAAAGCATTCACGGCTAAAGGCGCTACCTCTACCTCCTTAGAGTGGAGTATTCTTGGATCCCTAAAAGTTGCGATCGTTGCAAAAATTTTGGTCATGACCACACCACTTGCCCCTCTCACACGACTAGCGCTCCCGTCCAAAAGACGTCCACACCCATTCCGAAAGAAGTTGACAAAGAAGGTTTTCAAACAGTTATAAGGAAGTCTAGAGCAATTCCTATCCCTAAAAATAAATTTCAAGTCGACAACCGCAAAGGCAAAGGTCCCACCCTAAAGATCTCTCAAGTCTTCAAGCCAATCATTCGTGATCCGAAGAAGAAAAATATATCGACCAGCATGTTTGATCCTCTTTCGCACCAAAGAGTTGACGATTCTCAAGAAGATTCTTGCATCCCTCCTGTTATTCATTCCAGAGATACTCATCCGACTTCTGACGTACATCCGAGCTCTTCTCATGGTGGTTGTATTTCTTCTCCATTTGATCAGGGATGACGATTTTAGGTCTCTATTTAGTTTGTTTCTTGTTTGTTTTATCATTGTTTTGTCATTGTTTCTCGATTTGACTTTATATTATCCAACACTAACGCTTAGATAAGGTAAAAATTAAAATTTATAACTTCAATACAAATTAGGATTTAGATTTAGTGACTAAACTATATGGATCCTACTACCAAAACATTAGAAAATACGCTAACACGCTATCCTAGGTTGAGGTTACAACGAGTGCTAACTTAAGAACATCAAATAATTTTTTTCAGACATACCAAAACCTGTGAACTCACCAACATTATGTTGACCCTCTCAGAATCACATGTATTCCTAGGTGAACCCACAAAGATAAACGACTAACCACAAAGTACAAATGCCCTTTTGAAGATCATAATCCATACCTTCATCGTTTTCAAATTTAAAGAAGAACACATCATCATCATTGATAAAAATGTCACAAAGTCCATGTTCCTTCCAGGTTAGACTTTTAATAAACTTGAAACCAAGTTTATATCCCACAAATGCCCTCTTTCTTTGTATTTTTTTCTTTTTTAATAAAATTTGCCAAGGGTAATCCTTTTTACCCAAAAAAAACCCCAAACCCCAAACCCTAAACCCTAAACATTAAACCCTAAACCCTAAACCTTAAATCCGAAACACTAAACCCTAAACCATAAACCCTAAATCTTAAACCCTAAATCTTAAACCCTAAATCTTAAACCCTAAACCCGAAACCCTAAACCCTAAACCAACAAACCCTAAACCAACAAACCCTAAACCCTAAACCCAAAAACCTAAACGCTAAACCCTAAACCCTAAACCCTAAAGCTAAACCCCAAACCTAAACCCTAACCCTAAACCCTAAACCCTAAGCCCTAAACCGTAAACCCTAAGCCCTAAATCCTAAACCCTAAACCCTAAAACCTAAACCTTATACCCTAAACCCTAAACCCTAACCCTAAACCCTATACCCTAAACCCTAAACCCTAAACCCTAATCCCTTTTAGGGTTTAGGGTTTAGGGTTTATTTTTTTATTTTTGTTTTGGGATAAAAGCGATTACCCTTGGCAAATTTTAATAAAAATATAAAGAAATTACAAAAGAGAGAGAGCAAACGCCCAAAGCAAAGACAAAAAAAACAAAGCGAAGATCTAGATAAATAAGATCTAAAACATCAACCCTGATCAACTGGAGTAGAGATGTGGCCACCGTGAGAGGATCTCGGATGAGAATCAGAAGCTGGGAGGGTATCTTTTGAAAGGATGACAAGAGGGATACTAGAATCTTCTTCGGTATCGTCAACTCTTTGATGTGAAAGAGCATCAAACATGTTGGACGACACATTCTTTTCCTTTGGGTCACGAATGATTGGCTTGTAGACTTGAGCAATCTTTAGAGCGGGGCCTTTTCCTTTACGGTTGTCAACTTGGACCTTCTGTTTAGGGATATGACTAGCTCTAATTCTCCTTTTAACCGTTAGAAAACCTTCTTTGTCAACTTCTCTTAGGATGAGTGTGGGCGCCTATTGAATGGGGGAGCTGGTCGTATGAGTGGGGCATGAGGCTTGGTCATGACTAAAAATTTTGCAACGGTCACATCTCTTAGGATTCCAAGAATACTCTACTCGGAGGGAAGTAGAGGTTGCACCTTTAGCCATGAACGCTTTGATTTTTATTTCTTTAGCCCAAGGAGCATTTGCCGACATCTCAATGAGAATACGCGCATAAACCGCTCTTCCTGTAGCCCGATCACACATGGTGGTAGTGTAAGAGTCAACCTCCAAAGGCTTTCCAAGTTTGCTTGCTATTAGACTAAGACCATCTTTATTAAAAATTTGGAGAGGGATACCAAATATATTAACCCAAACGGGAACCCGGTCATGAGATGTTTTTCAATAAAAACTTATGCGTCCCATTTTCGGAGAAAGAGTGGGATTCCGTTAATCTTCCAAATACCCTTTTGAAGAACATAATTCATACCTTCATCGTTTTCAACTTTAAAGAAGAACACATCATCATCATTGATAAAAATGTCACAAAGTCCATGTTCCTTCCATAGATTTGGGGTTCGACTTTTAATAAACTTGAAACCAAGTTTATCTCCCACAAAATATCCATATAAAGTTCTTTCGAAAGGAGCACTACCATTTTCCATGATAATCGAGGGAATTAAAAAGTGATCATCTTCTAAAATGTCAATAATATTTTTGAAATCAAGAGCAAGAGGCTTGGAAATTAAATTCTCAGGAAATTCTGCATCACAAGAATTAGCAACAAGCCTAGAAGCCGCGAAAGGGGTTGGAGTGGGCTCGACTGATTGAGGGCTGAGGCTACCAATAACAATATCAACAAAAGATAAAGTGGGCTGAACATACCTTGGGCTATTAGGCCCAAACAAGAGAAGGGGTGGATCATTAACATCTTTAGGCGGCTGATTAGGGATCGTGGGGAAGCAAGACGTGTGGCAAGCAAAGGAGAAAGGAACATAAGCATTAAATATCTTTCCCCCATGATGGTGACCGCCATTAATGGGCATGGGGGGAAGGTAGTGACTTGGACAAGAAACCAACAAAAATTCCTCTTCCAAGCAAGAAATCGGAGTGGGTACTAAGCAGGAATTAAATGTCGACGACCCCCACAAGAGAAGAGCAATTAATGCTCGATTGGTGCATACCCCAGATTTATGGAAGGAACATGGGCTTTATGACATTTTTATTAATGACGATGTTGTTTTCTTTTTAAAATTTGATATCGATGAGGGTATGAATTATGTGCTCCAAAAGGGTATTTGAGGGATCAAAGGCACCCCTCTCTTTTTCCACAAATGAGATCCAGATGTTTTCACTGAAAAACCATCTCATGATCGGGTTCCTATTGCTAGCAAACTAGGAAAGCCTTCGGAGTTTTACTCTTACACTACCACCATGTGTGAGCGGTATACGGGTAGAACGATTTATGCCCGTATACTCATTGAGATGTCGGCTAAAGATCCTTTGGCAAAAGAAATAAAAATCAAAGCATTCACGGCTAAAGGCGCTACCTATACCTCCCTTAGAGTGGAGTATTCTTGGATCCTTAAAAGATGCGACCATTGCAAAAACTTTGGTCATGACCACACCACTTGCCCCTCTCACACGACTAGCGCTCCCGTCCAAAAGACGTCCACGCCCATTCCGAAAGAAGTTGACAAAGAAGGTTTTCAAACAGTTATAAGGAAGTCTAGAGCAATTCCTATCCCTAAAAAGAAAGTTCAAGTCGACAACCGCAAAAGCAAAGGTCCCACCCTAAAGATCTCTCAAGTCTTCAAGCCAATCATCGTGATCCGAAGAAGAAAAATATATCGACCAACATGTTTGATCCTCTTTCACACCAAAGAGTTGAGGATTCTCAAGAAGATTCTTGCATCCCTCCTGTTATTCATTCCAGAGATACTCACCCGACTTCTGACGTACATCCGCGCTCTTCTCATGGTGGTTGTATTTCTTCTCCATTTGATCAGGGATGACAATTTTAGGACTCTATTTAGTTTGTTTCTTGTTTGTTTTGTCATTGTTTTGCGGCTTATCCCTTCACTTGTTTTGACTTTATTTTTCTTGGGCGTTTGCCCCCTCTCTTTTGTAATTTCTTTCTTTTTCCTTAATAAAATTTTATAAGGGGTTTCCCTTTTTCCCAAAAAACTAAAATCTTAAACCCTAAACCATAAGGGGTTTTCCCTCTTTCCAAAAAAAAACCCTAAACTCTAAAACCGTAAGAGTACTTTCTCTCTCTAGAAAACTCCTCTCGAGATTAAGTGTTCTTCTTCTTTATTGGGTTTTATGGTTAATTTCCTTTAATCTACTGTTAATTTGTTGTGTTTGTCACGGGAAAGATTCACAGGGTTCAAAGATCATAAAAAAAATCAAATTCTTATTCCAATGGTAATGGTGTTCTTGACTCTTTCCATTTTGAAGATAGGCCTAGAAAGGAAGACATTGTTCATGGTGTTCTTAATGGGCATGGAGGTTCTGAATCTATTACCACCTCCGGTTCTTCATCTGCTCTTTGTGTTAGCAACCATAGTAACAAAGCTTTCTTCTTCTCTGATGCTTATGAGGTTGCTTTTGAAACTAAGGGACTTGGTGATAAAGCTTCTTCAAAGACTGCTGCTAAAGATGTCGAAGATTTTGAGGATGGTGATGAAGCTATCTCTCATGATCCATCCTGTTTTCCTTTAATGTGAGACTTAAAATTCAGTCATGGAATAGTTAATTGAGTTGGTGTTGATGCAACTTCTTCTCTCGAAGTTTCATTGGCTCCTAATCCTCTTTCGCTCCCTAATATCAATATGAAACTTTTTAAAAAAAAGATGGAGTTGTTGAGGATTTTTCTGATTCTGATGTTGGGGATGAGGCTTCGCTGATCTCTGCTTCTCCTCTTCATGCGTCAGGAGAGTTTGTTGCTCTGGTTTAGCAGCCTCAAGGTCCTGAAGGTGACGTCGCCCAGTCAATCTCTTCTCCGGCAACTAATTCCTCTTCACCGATTTCTCCTTCCCTAAGCGATGGTGGCGTCCGTCCTCTGCTCGGCAACCGCCGATCAACACCTTAGATGGTGGCCCAAGTTGTTTTTGGAAAAGATTCCCCTGCATTTATTGGAAAGGTTCCTGCGTCAATTTCTTCTATCGTGGGTAAGGATTTTTTTATCTGTTGGGAAAAGTCAACTTGCTCTGGATATGGGTGTAGATGAAATCGAATTTCTGGACAAACATAACGGAGATTGGGCTTCTTTGGATGCATGCTCAAATGTGGCTTCTAACATTAATTGCTCTTTCTTAAATGGAGCTATGGCATTAAATGCTCTAGTTGTGGACCCCTCTTCGTTTCCCTCACATGCCGATAAGATTAATTATTTTAATCTTGAAAGTCAAAAGTCGCTAGGCATGGGGTCCTCGGCATTAAATGCTTGCTTGGATCCTCTTTCGAAAATTGCCTTGGATTTGGATGCAACGTCGGTTTATATCCAAGCACCCACCACGCAAATTAATGACCATTTAATTGGTAGGGTCAATTCTTTGAATGCTGGAGGCCAAATATTAATTGCTTCTCTAAATCCCTCCAACTCTCCTGCTAGGCGCGTGGAAGGCTATCCCTCCACTTTGCGGTCAATTGGTGAAGTCCCTGATGGACATGTGCCCCCTAAAGATTTTAGTGGTCCCCCTCCCCTTCTTTGCTCAGCCGATAATATGAGCCCACCTCCCAATTCGTTTGGGCCTAATAGCCCAAGGTTTGTGCATGCTTCCTTATCCTTTGCTGATATCATTAAAGGGTCCACTCCTTCTTCTGGCCCAACATCATCTCATCAGATACCTAATTCCCAAGCTGGATTTTTTTGGAGATGCTCCTGTCTTCGACTCTTCTAGTGGCAAGGTACCTTTTTTCAAGGAAAAAAAATTCTCCCTTGACTTCATTAATTTAATGGAATCCGTGGAGGATGACCACATTTTAATTCCTTCGGACATCATGAAAAAAGGAAGCATTCCTTTTGAACAAACCATTTATGGATATTTTGTTGGGAAAAGACTTGTTTTCCCATATGTCAAAGATCGTGTTCTAGAATTATGGAAAGAGTATGGGATTTGTGATATTTTTATTAACGATGATGATATCTTCTTTTTTTAAATTCGACAATGATGAGGGTATGAATTACGTTCTTCAAAAGGGAATTTGGAAGATCAATGGTATCCCATTCTTTCTTCGCAAATGGGATCCGAATGTCTTCATTGACAAATCAAGTCATGATCAGGTTCCCGTGTGGGTTAATATCTTTGGCATTCTTCGCCAACTCTTTAATAAAGATGGTCTTAGTCTCATTGCTAGCAAACTTGGAAAGCCTTTGGAGGTTGACTCTTACACCACCACCATGTATGAGCGGGCAACGGGTAGAGCGGTTTATGCTTGTATTCTCATGGAGATGTCAGCTAAAGATTCCGAAATAAAAATCAAAGAGATCACGGCTAAAGGTGCTACATCTAAAACTCTTCGAGTGGAGTATTCTTGGAACCCTAAGAGATGCTATCATTGCAAAAATTTTGGTCATGACCATGCCACTTGCCCCGTTCTCACGACCTGTACCCCCAGCCCAATGTCGGCTATGCCCACTGCAAAAGAAGTTGATAATGAAGGTTACCAAACGATCAAAAGGAGAACTAGAACATTTCCTATCCTAAAATAGAAGATCCTCATCGACAACCGTAAAGGAAAAGGGCTCGCTATAAAAATCTCTCAAGTTTATAAACCAGTGATCGGTGTAGAACCAAAGAAAAAGGTTACCAGTAACATGTTTGACGCTCTTTCTCATCAAAGAGTAGATGATACTTATGTCGACCCTCATATCCCTCTAGTTATTCATTCTAGCGATACCCACCCAGCTACTACTGACAAAACCTAGTATCATTACCACTAGAGTTTCGTTACTCTTAAAACAATTTTACTTTGACAAAACCTAGTATCATTACCACTAGAGTTTAGTCTAATATTCACCGAGACTAATTAATAGTCTAGCTATTATTACTATTATATAAGCGTTAAACAATACTCTTCACTCACTATGTACAGACAGGGGCCAGACATGGAACACCGAAGGGCATGATCATTTTGGCATATAACACTTCTGAATCCAGCAACCCAAACGGCCCTCCAAACCAGATTCCCCGTACCGCGAGTGGTCCAAAAGATATTATAACAACACTTATATAACCCATAATAATAGCCCAAATAATTATTATAAGGTCCTAATAACATTGCTATATTTAAATAAAAGCTATATTAAATATAGTATAGGCGTAGCTCACTTACAGCGGGTTTTTTATTAAAAACCGGGCTTCGTTGGAGCAGCGTTTCCCAGCCGAAAGCCAGGGCCGGCCCAACTACATGGGCAAGTTGGGCTTAAGCCCAGGGCATCAAAAAAATCGGGGCATATATATATATATATATATATATATATATATATATATATATATATATATATATATATATATATATATATATAATTTAGGCCCAAAAATTTAGTCCAATTACTCCACTCCAAAAATTAACAGCGATCGGCAACATTGGGGCATCCGATTCTTGAGCGCGAACTGTGAACTGTGAGAACGCAATCGTCAATCGTCAAATGAAAAAGCTAAAATTTTTGAAAATCGGACATTGGGGAGATCGAGGAGTCGACGAACGTTCAAATCGACTGAAGTATTTGTTTTGTGGTATGATTTGCCGATTCCCATTCCTTCCTCTCAATTTCTTATTCAATCTTCTCTAAAACTGATAGTCTGATACATTCAATCGATCTTCATCTCTGATTCTTGATTTCTAATTACTGAGACCTGAGTTCGAAGACATCAAACACAACCCGAAGACTAGAGAAATCAAACACAACCTGGAGACTGGAGGCCTGATTGCCAATTTCTATTCTCATCCACTCGATTTGTGGGTGAGTTTTCTTCAATTGATTGGGATTTTGCTCGATTTTTGGGTGAGTTTTCTTCAATTGATTGTGATTTTGATAAATACATAAACTTGTTGCCATCAATCATCGGTTCTTTGTTCTTAATATGAGTAATTGATTATTGTGATTTGTTGTAGGAACGAAAGACCTGTGTGGTTTCTCGGTTTCTGAATTCTTTTCTCATCTTCTACTCTTCAACTGATTAGGGTAAGTTTTCTATTTTTCTTCAAGTGATTTTGTTTTTTATTTCTGTTTGAACACCAAACCTGCTGCATCAATCTATCAACTCTAAACTTGCTGTCATCAATCATCTGTTTGTTTTAGGATTCAGGAATTTTTATCATTACCTGTTGGATTTCATCAGTTGGATTACAATAAAAAAAAGTCATCTTTTGTTTCTGATACAAATTCGAGCATCAAATTCTGCTGTTTGGTATACGAGATTTATGGTTTACTTCAGGTACAGTTTCTGATTACTATGGTTTGTTTATGATACAAATTTGTGAATTACTTTTCTAAAGGTTTGTTCTTGTTTCTGTGATGTGAACCAGGAGTTGGGAGGCTGATTTTTGTTTATTTTAGTCTCTTGAAAGGTATATATTTATTTGATTGTAGTGCTATTAGTCAGTAGTTATTGAAAATGGATTTGTATTTCTGATTTTATGTTTTATTTTTCAGATTATAGACATCTTCAAAGTGGAAAATAAAATCGAAAACTTTGGTCAGGTTGTATCTTTCTTTGCTTAGCTTTTATAACTAGATTTATTGATGTTTTTTTCTTTGCTTAACATTTATAACTAGATTTGCTGATTTTTAAACATGTTTCCGCGAAAACAACCATCGGGTGCTCAAAATAGAAAACGAAAAGAAAAGAACAAGAAGAGGCTAATCAATTAAGAGGGTCTTTGAATAAATCTTTTGTTAGAAATCAAAATTCTAATGATCCGGTTAATAATTTTAATGTTCCACCTAGTACTTCCAATGATTCGGTTGATATTTCCAATGATTTTGAAAAAAATGTTTTTTTTGATAAAGATAAACCAAGTGATTTTAATACTTTTGATCCTAGAGTATGGGATGATTTAGATTCAAAAATGAAAGATTTACTAACAGGGTCGGCCCAACTACATGCGCAAATTGGGCTTAAGCCCAAGGCATAAAAAAATCGAGGCATATTTTCTATCAATCAATTAATAATATATATATATATATATATATATATATATATATATGTGTGTGTGTGTGTGTATGTGTGTGTGTGTGTATGTGTAATTTAGGCCCAAAAATTTAGTCCAATTACTCCACTCCAAAAATTAACAGCGATCGCCAACATTGAGGCATCCGATTCTTGAGCGCGAACTGTGAACTGTTAGAACGCAATCGTCAATCGTCAAATGAAAAAGCTAAAAATTTTGAAAATCGGACATTGGGAGATCGAGGAGTCGACGAACGTTTAAATCGACTGAAGTATTTGTTTTGTGGTATGATTTGTCGATTCCCATTCCTTCCTCTCAATTTCTTATTCAATCTTCTCTAAAACTGATAGTCTGATACATTCAATCGATCTTCATCTCTGATTCTTGATTTCTAATTACTGAGACCTGAGTTCGAAGACATCAAACACAACCCGAAGACTGGAGAAATCAAACACAACTCGGAGACTAGAGACCTAATTGCCGATTTCTATTCTCATCCACTCGATTTTTGGGTGAGTTTTCTTCAGTTGATTGTGATTTTGCTCGA